TATAGTTTTTTGGGGGGCCTCTAGGATCCCCAACCAGTGGGTTCTTGTGGTTCCAGACAGCTTGTTCGGATCCGATGTTCGAGGTGCTGTCAGGCACTTTCGTTTCAAGCACCGGCGCAGCTATACAGAAAAGCACGTCTCCCTATCCAGCTGCGACAAAATGAGTTGCTGCTTCTGCAGGATGTCTCTCACTCGATGGGCCAAGTTCGTCAGATCTGTATCTGCCTGCGATCGATGTGAGGACCAGCATGCTTCGAACTTGGAATCTTTGGGGCTATCTATTTCCAGAAACTACCATACTTGCTCGACTTTTGGCATCAGTTTCAAGTACATCCATGAACCAAGTACTCAGACGAGAGCTGCCGGAACTTGTAATTTAGGCCCAGATTGCCCGAGGCATGCCTCTGGAAAGCAGCCCGGCAGCGCACCCTTAAGAACTCCAAAACGTGTCAACTCCCCTCGGCAAAAAAAAAACAACACACTGCAATTTACATGCTTGACAGTAACCTTTGCACCCTCAAAAAAGGTAATGTACCTTAATTATGGGGAAATGTACCCTTTTTGCGGGCACAAGGTTACTCTAAACCCTAAACCCGACACCCCAAACCCGAATGGTGTAGCTTAGGCTTAGGGTATCGTCGTGGCTGAAGGGGGGGGGGGGGGTTTAGGATTTAGGGTTTAGAGCCCTTTTTTCTTGAGGGGGAGAGCCTGATACGTCGGGAATCAAAATACAGGTGACACGAGCTGGGGTAAACCTAGACCCTCTAGACCCAAGAGTAACCTTGGCATAAAAAAGGGCGGCCCTTTTTGGCTAAGCCCCCTAAACCCTAAACCCTAAAAAAAGGGAATAAGCCTCTACTCCTGGTCTTAGCCCTCCTTGATGCTCTGAAACCCGACGACACCTCATTGGTGCGGCTCCAATTTCCGCTGGTCCTCAGTCAAAGAACGATTTGCTCCACTGAGGCTCTGTAGGTGTAGGGTTTCTTCAGCCCTAAACCCTAAACCCTAAACCCTAAACCCTAAACCCCAAACCCTAAACACTAAACCCTGAACCGCTCCCTTTGAAAGGCAGCTCTAGAAGAGCTCCCATGCATGACCTTTGTGTTTGGTGCGTTTCTCGATGTTTGCGTGTCATCCTTGCGCAGGGGCCATCTTCTACGGATCTGTACCGGATGATCCCCGAAGGTTCATGGTTCAGGGTGTCAGGCTAGCCTGGGAATAACAAGAAAGTAACATTTTGCGGTTTCGCTGGGGTTGATGAGGGAACCGAAGCCCTGACAGAGAGAATAAAAACATGCTTGGGGCCTAAACCCTAAACCCTAAGCCCTAAACCGGGGGGCGGGGGGTGTGGCCTGAAGCTCTGAACCATGACATCTTTCAACTTCTACATTCATCCCCATATGAGGGTCACGCCCCTACACCCGAACCAAACCCTATCGTAACAAAGCAAGCCGGGTTTAGGGTTTAGGGTTTAAGGTTTAGGGTATAACCTCTGAAAAAGGCCCTTTATAGGTTGGTTAGGGGGATTATAAGGCCTATTGCCCATGCTGGAAGGCAAGGCTCAACCCTGCACCCTTCTAAGCCTAAGCCCTAAACCCGCCATGCTCAAAGGACACCACAAAACCACGGAGCTATTCGAACCACTGCGGGATACGTACAAACGTAACTTAGGTTCAGCATTCTCCCTTTTGCATGCAGGCCTATGAGGCAGCATTCTCCCTAATACCCTAAACCCTGAACCCATAAGGCAAGCAAAGGTCATCTCGAGCTGAATGCGCTGGCGTCTGAGCCCTGCAGCTTGGGTGGCAAGAGCTTTTCAGGGAAGCAAAAACAACTACGGTCCGGATACCCTAACGTAGCATGGGGTATAGGATCCCAGTTGTGGGCCGCTTCATGTGGTCCCTAAGGGTTGTACACAAGTTGGATTGTAAGCAAGGATCACAAGACCCCAATTATAACTTAGGTCCTGAGTTTAGACTTGGTGAGTATCTGCCGGATGATCCTAAACCCTAAGCCCTAAGCCCTAAGCCCTAAACCCTAAACCCTAAACCCTAAACCGCCGGAATTGATAGATGGTGGCTTAGGACACTATGGGTGCCCTAAGCCCTATGCCCTAAACCCTAAACCCTAAACCAAAAACCTTCAGACTGCAACCTCCAAGGCATTTGGGAGCGCTCTCGAGACTTAGGAAGTTTGGGGTTTGCGAAGCCCTAAACTGGCCGACCTGGAGCGTCTTTCAGTGCGCGTGAGCGGTTCATTAAGGTTGTCCGAAACACAGGTCCTTCTAGGGGTTTAGGGTTTAAGCTTTAGGGTTTAGGGTTTACGGGTTTTGTCGGGTTCAGGCTTTCGGCCTTATTAGAGCCGAAGACTTCCTTCTGCAGGGAACCGGGCTCAGGGTTTAGCTACTCCTGGAACGAATCGAAGACCCAACAATTGAGTGTGGCTGGCTACAAGCTTTTGAACGGTCTAGGTGCTTTGAACGCGTTCAAGAGGAGCCCTCTCAACACAAGATAGGGCCATTCCGTGTCGTCAGAAATCCTGAATATGACAAGAAGGGATCAAATATCCAAGGGCCTACCTAGGACCCTGAACCCTGAACCCTAAACCGTAAACCCCAAACCCAAGTTTAGAATCCCCTCTTGCCGTCGGGCTCGCCTGAGACTCGCTCTTCAGACCGCCGCAGCTTGCAGCGCGAGATGCAGGTCGAGAAAACAAAGGAGTTTTGCACCACCTGGCACACAGGGTTTAGGGTTGAGGGCTAGGGTTCAAGGTTTAGGGTTTTGGGTTTGGGTTTTGGGGTTAGTTTAGGGCTAAATTAGGGTTTAGGGTTTTTTTGCCACCCGCCTAGCTGACACTCAGGCCACATTGCAGGGACTCATTGCGGAAATGGTCTTCGATAGAAAGGGAAAAGCTTGTGCCCTTAAAGGAAACGCAGAAGATGTTGTCTCCAGGGCGGCGTCATCCTCAAAACACCATTAAAGTTACGCAAGCAAGGATGGGGGCACGTAGGTTGCGCATGGTTCCAAAAGACAGAGATGACTGTCACCGCCCTCATCCTGTGAGGCCGTCTGCAACTCCTGGACCAACGGCCGGACCAACCCCGTGCATTTCGCAGCCCGTCTGCACCACCGTGCCCACGTATAATCGTCGGACAGATCTCCAACCGCGACACCAGGATCTATCATCCTGCTTGGGGTCACGGGCCTCCAAGGCGTTGAAATGCAACCAATCGACAGGGGTGCGGACAGCCCCTGTCAAGGTGTTGACGAACACGAACCGCTCCATGGATGGGATGCCAAATCAAATGCCATTCAGTCGGATTTTCAGCGTCTTGGCTTGGCCGTGCTTTCCCAGCACTACAAACCGCAGATGCCCCTCTGCCTCTTATGCGGCGGTTGGTCTGCAAAACATATCTTGCAGCAGCAAGATGCAATACCATTTCAGCGCAAAGCTCAAGCACTGCACCCCCCAGTCAAATGCTGCTGGGCCGAAACTAAAAGCCCAGAGCCCTTCTGTGCCGTGTGGTGGAAATGAAGGACTGAGGCCACGCCGCAGAATGGAATGCAGGACCCCCAGACGGCTGGCATGTACTAGGTCGACCTTAGCAGAAAGCATAAAAGAAGTTCCTCAAACTGGCACCTACCAAGGTGCACCTTGCCCTTATGCCAATGCAATGTACATTAATTTGCGTAGCTGCATGTACTCCCTCAATCTCCCTCACAGAAGCTGCGCCTGCGTGCCTGCTTCTGGGAGCTTCAGACGTACAGGTTGCAGATTTTCAGCGCCAGTCTAGCCAACATGTGCATTGGTATAGTAGTATAGTAGCATGTAGTCACTCACAGCAGGTGCGCCTGCGTGCCTGCTTGGGGGAGCTTCAGACCTATAGGTTCCAGAGTCTATTATACAATGAGGATTTCTTGGGATCTTTGTTTCGGGCGGCAATCCATTAGAGCTCATTGAGCGCACAGTGAAGGGCCGTGGAGGGCCAGCGAATGGCAGAGGAACAGGAGCACCTTCGCGCTGTTGTCGGATATCGGTGGCACGTACCTATCGAGGCAGGCACCGACCAAAATGGGCAGGCACGAAGCGGGAGGGAGGATACTTCACTTAACCACAACATTTTGCTTTGTACATTTGCTTAATTTAAGGTTTGCCTTCAACGCCTTGCAGAAGTTGCGCCTGCGTGCCTGCTTCTGGGAGCTTCACAGATCCTTGAACCCCGAACGGAGGGTATCTGAGATACCTGACCTGGTGGTGTGTTCTAGTGCTTGGGATGCTTGGATATGTTTGCGATGGCATGGAACACCCAAGATTGTGTATGGCAGTGGGAGTGCATGGGAATGTGTGGGACACGAGTTGATGTCTTGGAGCTTCGCAGGACCGCGGGCGCAGGAATAGCGCAGGATTTTCACGAACAGTTATTTTACTTCGAACATCCCCACCCTCTCTTGGTAGAGATACCTGGGGCTGGGCAACACTCTGGGGTGGGTACTCCAGGGAGACTCTGAGGTTGGGCACTCCAGGGAGACTCTGGGGCTGGGCACTCCGGGGACACTCTGGCCTTAGGGAGACTGTGAATTTGGGCACGGCTGGGCACTCCGTGTTTTGGGCACTCTGGGGTGGGTACTCCAGGGAGACTCTGAGGTTGGGCACTCCAGGGAGACTCTGGGGCTGGGCACTCCGGGGACACTCTGGCCTTAGGGAGACTGTGAATTTGGGCACGGCTGGGCACTCCGTGTTTTGGGCACTCTGGGGTTGGGCACTCCAGGGACACTCTAGAGTTGGGCACTCCAGGGAGACTTTGGGGCTGGGCACTCCAGGGATGAGCGAGGAGAAGACCGGGCGAGGAGAAGAGTTCCGGGCGAGGAGCAGAGTTGAGGTTAAAATCTAACAACCCCACACCGAGGGTGGGGAAATAGTCCTAATTACTAATGAGTCCCCTCTTATTCGGTTCTATACTTTGCGAGTGTGATTAGTATGATTCCACGTCAGAATACTGAGACACAGACAACAGAAAAAGGGCAGAGTCCACCCGAAAAGAAAAGCAAAAAGTGAACCTCTTTCCGACCTGCGTCGGCCTCGCGCCGACGCTGTCCCCTTCACCTCGATGACTACCCGTACGACCCATGAGGCCCAGACAAGCCCGAACATTAGACAACACACACGCACACACACACGCACACACGACACAGACTACATGTACTCGAGGCTAACAGGCCAGCAGATTACTAGAAGAAAGCACCTAAAACAATCCAGCGTGTAGCTACGAGACATAGCTGACAAGTGCCACGAGAAGTGACATAGGGCGAGCTAAAGCCCCAAGAAGCCCTTTCCCGGACAAGCAAGTGACGAGAAGATGACGCTTGCGTCTGCACAGTCCAGCAATACAAAAGTTCATCGAACGGTAAATGCGCGGCGCAGCCTAGATGCTCCTCGCTGGCTCTTGCCACGTGAAAAAAACTAACGAGCTCACGACCCCTTGTCGCCCACGAGGTAGCAGCTGGCTGTGAAGTTGATACCGAGCACCAATGAGCGCCTGCTTGAAATCAGCCGAATTTGCCCCGCGCAACTCGTCCCGGTCTCTGCTTTCGGGCATGCACAGTTGTGCCGGGAAACCCCGAAGACAACTCACACCGGCAACTTGACCAACACCTGAACTGCGCGGACTGGCGTGCGCTTTTTGCTGGAGCGCTTGCTGAACCAGAAGCCATGCCGCGCTATGCTGTGCACAAGTGCCGTGTAAAGTTATTTGGAACATGATGCTTCTGAAATCTATACTATATCTGTTCTACCGGGCGCAAAATGCCTGCCCAGCTCGAGCAGACGGCGCGATGAGGAGACGGTCAGCTCACGCCGTGCATCAGGGGCTGCACGATGGTTTTCTTGGGGCTTCGATCTGGGCCAATCTTACACAAAGGCAGGTGTTATACTTCTCTATCCTGGAGCTGCAACCAGAGATGCCGAGATGCCACTTGCTGCTTGCCCGAAGCCCAGCCCAACTGCGTCTGGCGCGTGTCGACGCTGTCCTCTTCACCTCGATGACAACGCACGCAACCAATGAGGCCCAGGTGGGCCTCATCGGCAATAGATGACGACCGCAAAGTACATGGACTCAAAGCGATATCTGAGAAGTGCATGAAAGCGCCTGAACACTATCCCCGACAGGACGGTCGAGTTGCGACTTGGTTTGGGAGTTTTTCGGTTTCGGTATTCAGAGTTTCTGGATTTTGCAGTCGCGAGGGTTGGGCTTCAGGGGTATCAGGATTCAGTTTAGATTTTTTGGAGTTTTCGGAATTAGGAGTTTAGGGATCTCCCTCAAACAAGTTCGTCGGACCTGACAGCTTTTGGAGGAGCCACTGCTGCCAAGACGCTCTTGGGGCGAGGCTCTACTTCGTGAACCTGCTGCTCCTTTTCAATTAAACATGTTTGCTGGAGTATGCCTGCTGAACTGTGAGTCTTGATAATGACCTCAACCTCCTGAAACCCCTGCATCCCTGACAGGCCAGACACCCCAGACAGCCCCGACAGCCAGAGGAGAAGAGGGGGTCTGACACCGCGAGGATATGGGCACTTGGCCAGCCGGACAGCCAAACAGAAGACCAGATCAGCCCGGCCAAACCAAAGCGAGAGAGGGGGCCTCTGCAAGGCCTGTGATGGGAGAGGGGGGAGGGGGGGGGTAGAGGGGCCACATCCGTCCTGAGAACCACAAATATCACAGCGATAAGCTCACAGACTGTTCGGAGACCTCCCTCAGTAGAAACATGCTCTGAATTCGTGCATGTGGGGGCTGAAATAAGTTGCGCTTGCATCTTTGTGTTGCGTACTTAAGACTCGCATGCGATTGTCTATCTGCTACCCACTGATGCGGTCAGGGTTTAGGGTTTAGGGTTAGACTACAACCAGAGCACGCGCTGGACTGAAGCATAGGGCATAGGCATTCGCCCGGCGGGCAGCACCCTGTTCAGAATGCTGCCGCCCAGCAATACCACCATACACTCCTAGAAGAAGACGAAGTGTACTGGTCAGTGAGGAAGACAGCACTTCATGAGAGTGGGCTCTGTCTACTCCTCCTGGACTTTCTGACATACTCCAACACAGTACGCCCCTACAAGCATTGTGCCCTTGTGCCCGAGTTTCCCCCCATAAGCCTTGCTCAACTAGCCACGGAGCAGCAGCTTGCCTGGAGCCCAGTTGTGCTGGGAATGTTGGCAGCAGTGCGTTCAAACGGTCGGGCCTGACCCCCTGCAGTGGCTGTGTCGGCGGCTGTGTGTGAGCTGATGCGTTGTTAACCCAAGAGCGGGCATAGATGCCCCTGGCATAGGTTGTAGGTCCCCTCCTAATTTTATATTGGGGTTCCAACCGATGACCACCCCCGTGTGGAAAATCACCTTCCCGGGCACGAGATCGATCACAAAGTAGCTGATGGACACGGGGACATCCTCCTCCAGAGGATCGAACAAACTCGCGCCCCTGGCGATAAAGCAAGTCTGGATTGGGAGCACGGAGAACTGCTTTGGTCCTCATCGTGCATGCCATCCTGCTTCGCCATGACTGCTAAGCTAAGATGCTACACCCAACAGCCTTGAACTCTTGATCCAAAATGGCTACGGTGTTAGGGTTTAGGGTTGATGCTCCGGTTCCCACAGGCCTTCGAGCATTCCGAGCATTGGTTTCGGGCTTCAGGAGCTTCGGGCTTAGTCGAATCTCTATCTTAGGCTAGTAGGTATATAGGGTTCGCAAGTGAGGGGGGTTCAAGGGGGCATGTAACCCCGGCTCCCTAATACTCCCTTCTACTCCCTTAGGGTTGCCTAGGTAACTACCCGTCTACACGGGCTATACAACAAGGCACCCAAAATAACGGCCCACACTTGGAACCTTAAAGAATGGAGCCCTCAAATGCGAAGGGTTTAAGGTTTGTGGGTCCATTCATAGTAGGGGTTCTAGTCGCACAGGGTATCGGTTCTCAATTGTCGGGTTCATTCGGTCCCTGAGGTTTTAGGGCTTCGGGTTCAGAAGACCTAACCCTAAACCCTAAACCCTAAACCCTAAACCCTAAACCCTAAACCCCTAAACCCCTAAACCCTAAACCCTAAACCCTGAACCCTAAACCCCTAAACCCTAAACTAACCTAGCTCTGCCTTGATGTGCTTCCCGTTACCCCAAGGGCGGTACCTAGCTTCAAGGTCCCATCCTGAATCTTTGAATCCGAAGCCCTAAGCCCTAAACCCTCAACCCGAAGCCTTAAACCGGTTTAGGGTTTAGGGTTTAGGGTTTAGGGTTTAGGGTTTAGGGTTTAGTGTTTAGGGTCTAGGGTCTAGGGTTTAGGGAAACCCGAAACTTTTAGAAAGCCAACGGCGGCCGCCTCGATAAAGTGGCTCAGGTCGGACAGGTCTACAAGGATCACCTTCCTTGGGGACATAACTACGACTTGCTGAAGAACACCAAAAAAATCAAGATATTCTTCCTTATTTAGGATAATATAGGGATCATTTTTTTCTGGGGTTCTTAAGCAAATAGTAGATAATGAACATCAACAGGTTCACTCCGTGCTTTGGTGTTTAGAGTCCAGGGTTGAGAGGTCCACGCTTGTTTCCTTGTTACTAATTACGGCTGAGTGTGTTTTGGAATCTGATTCAGAGAGCCATACTGCAGCTTGCGGTTCATACAGCTGAACACCGGGATAGAATGCAGAAACACGGTCCTACTAGTTGGGTTGATTTGGTCTTCGAGGTTCCAAAACCTAAGAGTCATAAAAGAGGTTAAACCCTACCATCCCTATTCAATAAGGACTAAGGATACCCCAAAAAGTTTAAAGCTTAACTATTGGCTTAGTAAGGTTCTCAGCAGACTGGCCAAGCACTGTTGACAGGTTGTCCAACAAGTCCACCATGACCTGGCGCAGCAGAGACATCGGAGCCCTAAACCCTAAACCCCTAAACCCCTAAACCCCTAAACCCCCACAGGCAATTTAGCAGCTCCTCTTGAAGCCCGAAACCCTAACACCCTTATGAACCCATATAGACCCTAAACCCTAAACCCTAGACCCTAGACCCTAAACCCTAAACCCGAAACCCTGAACCCTAACAACCTACTACCCTAAGCCCGAAACTCCGGACTGTTGGGGGCAAGGCTATCTGCCCTGGCGACGTGGCCTCGAAGAGTCTCGTGAGGCCAACCTCAGATGCTCTCTCCTCTCACCTCTACAGGCAGGGCTTAGGGTTTGGGGTTTAGGGTTTGGGGTTTGGGGTTTAGGGCTTAAGGTTTTGGGGTTTGGGGTAGTGATTCTAGGTGGGGTCTAGGGTTTAGGGTTTAGGATGGCGATTAGGTCGGGTTTACGGTTTTGGGGTTTGGGGTTTAGAAGACTGATGGCGAGATCTATGCCTCGCTGTCCCATTGCTGTTGATCATGTGACACTCTGACATGCGGAAGAGGATCACTTACTTGGTGACACCGAGTCCCTCAAACAACCTTTGAACAGCCCCATGAACCCCCAAACTCTAAACCCTCAACCCTCCTTAGTCCAGTAACCTAGGGGAACTGAAGGTTAACCTTTGGGAGTTTAGAGGGATTATACTACCCCAAAAAGCTTCAAGGTCATCTACTCGACTACTACTAAGCTTAACCTCCAAACCCTAAACGATCCCTAGAGTCCCTAGAGTCCTTCCTCTAAGCCCGGGCGCAGCATGGTTGGTCTTGGACTTCTGCACGCAATCTGGCAAGAATTCCAGGATAATTGCCCGACCTTGCCGCAGAGATTGAATGTGTTTCTCAGGGTTTAGGGATTCTAGCCTTAAACCCTAAACCCTAAACCCTAAACCCCGGAAACCCTAAACCCTGATCAGGGTTTGTAGGACTGGGGGTTGAGGGCCTACTAACGGCATACGGGACTTAGGGTTTGGGGCTGTATAGGGTTTTCGGGTGCGCTGGCTGAAGGGGTTTTGTTTAGGGTTTAGGGTTTAGTTAGGGTTTTACTAGAACCCTCCTCTGAGCATATGGGATCACACGATCCGGCTGTGTCCTGATTGAATGCTAGGCCTACTGACTGCTTAAACTCTCACAACCCACGTCTCGCCCCAAACCCCAAACCCCAAACCCTAAACCCTAAACCCCAAAACCCCAAACCCTAAACCCGAAACCCCACCGGGTCAGGGGGCGCTGGATGCCATCGGCCAGCAAGTGATGAACCAAGGTGGCTCGCTCCTCTGTCTCGCAGGTGATTATTGACTTTTGAGTTTTTGTGGGGTTCTTAAGCACATAGTAGTAAACCCTAAAGCTTGCTTCTGGGAGCGCAGTAAGCCTAAAAAAAGAGCAACAGATTGCACTTACCTGTTGCCGTCTTCCGCTTTGGGCCTCAGGTTTCTTTGTTGCTTTCTGTGCTGCAATATAGGGGCCGGGAGTATGGTCTTTACTATGCTCAGGGTTCCACGTCGTTTGACTTCGGCGCCCAGCTGGTCACCAGCCTGTACATCGTGAAAGTGCCGCGCTCAAACGCCGCCTTTCTCAATGGGCATGCTTAACGGCATGTTCTCTCTGGAGGCCATCTCGACCGCAAACAGCCACTTGAAGAACCCGGGTCTTGCAATCCCCTATCAGGACCCGGTAACATACGCAAGAAGATTGGGGGCTCAAGGTAAGCCCAGGGGAACCTGCAGCATTTGCAGCTGGGAGTCGCGACTGCCAAGTAGCGCCCAGGCACGCTGCAGATTCTCATAGCCGCTGCCTGACCCCAAACACCCTAAACCCCAAACTCTGAACCCCAAACACCCTTTACAAAAACTGGAACTGAGGCCAGGGCAGCATCTATCCATCCCAAACACCCTAAACCTTAAACCCTGAACCCCAAACCCTTAACTGCGAATCCCGACAGCGAAGGTCAACCCCACAGCGTGAGCCAACATCAACCGGGGCGGAAATGCCCTAATCAATTCTGCTTAGCATCGTTCTCGAGGGCGGCGGGGGATTCTACATATTCCCCTAAAGTACTACTTGACTAAACGCATGCGAAAGAAAGAGAAAGACAACCATGCAAGAACATGAATAGAGGAAACAGAAATAAATCAAGAACAAAAACGAATAACTCAAGGAAAGACAGAAGGAAACAAAGAAGAGGGGGGCTCTGGGAGCTCTTCGCAACTCTAAACACTAGCGCAGTGCTAACCCTAAACCCTAAACCCTAAACCCTAAATCCTAAACCCTAAACCCTAAACCCTAAACCCACGTTGAAGCCAAGAGTCGATCTTGCTCCCTTCCCAAGCAGGCAAGGCGCATCAGGACAAGGTCCTCTCAGGGTTTAGGACTTAGGGGTCAGGAGAAGGTTAAACAGGACCTGCCATCTCTGCACTGAGCCTCGACTCGACACTGGACTTCGTTCCATTCCTGTTTAGGGTTTAGGGTTTTAGGGTTTTGGGGTTTAGGGTTTAGGGTGTAGGGTTTAGGGTTTAGGGTTTAGGGTTTAGGGTTTAGGGTTTAGGGATGAACCAGCTGCATGTTGAAAGCTCAAGCACATCTCTATGCTGAGCAGCAGCCCGCCCTAACCTTTTTGCATAAACCACCTGCGCCAGGTTGAGAGGGACACACCGGGGGCGGGGTGGCGACAAAGTAGGAGCCTTCTTTGGAGCCCTTGTTAACTGTTCTTATCGACACCAAGTGCGGGACCACCATCTGAACAAACAGACTGACCCATTCTCTGGCATGCACCTTAGACCCAGAGCTCAACCGCTTTTTAAAGCTTGCCAGGGTTTAGGGTTTAGGGATAGGGTGTTGGATTTAGGGTGTAGGGGTTCAGGGGTTCAGGGTTCAGGGTTTAGGGTTTAGGGTTTAGGGTTTAGGGGAACCCTCAAGGCTGAGCCTGCTAGCAGCTCTGTGGTCCTCCGATGCCGAAAACGGAGCCCGGAGAGCGCGGGCGCGGCAGGCCTGGGTAGGGCTTTCTGTCTTTTTCCTCCGCCTCCACAAGAATAAAAAAGGGAAAAGGGTTTAGGGTTTAGGGTTTAGGGTGACCCAAGAGGAACCTAGGAATACAAAAGGGTGCCCTTTTTGGTTTGAAGGGGCTTATAAGGGAACCTACACCCCTGGGCTGCCGGATCAAAAAAAATAAAAAAGGATCAAAAAAAAAATAACGCAGCCCAGGATCAAAAAAACAAAAAAAAAGGATCAAAAAGAAAATAAACTTCGACTTCGAGTACGAAAACTCGAGTTTTGGTACGTTGTCGGAACCCGATCGAGGACCCTCTCACACGAAACGCGTGTCGACGTGCTAATATAATATAATAATAATAATAATAATTATTATTATTATTATATATATATATAGATTATGATACTTAATATCCAAGACCTAATTCGAAATATAAAATACATAATAATGGGAATTTATAATAAACTACATATAAAATATAAAATAAAATATATAATATAATACAATAGTAGTAATAGTAATAGTAGTAGTAGTAGTAGTAGTAGTAGTAGTAGTAGTAGTAGTAGTAGTAATAGTAATAGTAATA